TTGAATTCGCTCGGGAGCTCCCGAACGAAATGAACCCCACCCTCCTCCCAGATCATGGGTGGGTAGGGGTGGGGCTCGCATCAACTTAGCCAGTTCGAACGAGCCAGAGGGCTCCGTCCACTCCCACCCGCCCTCCCACAAGATAAGAAGCAAGTGCGTCGCGTCCGACGCCTGTCGGTCATCTTATATCGTGGGCGGCTAGACGTTCAACGCGCGACAGGCTGCGTCCTATTCCTGCCGCGTATCGAGCAACGTCGACGAGAAACAAGACCACGCGCGAGTGGCCCACTGGGGGGGAGGCGAGGACGGTCACGGAGAGGGGACCATGGGCGGGCGAGGCGCCAAGAACATGCAGTCCGTCACCCCGGTATGGCGGCGCCCCGCTAGGGCACACGAGATGCCCTCAGAACTACCGTTGGGGCGTTGACCTAAGGAACCCACTATCCACCGGCCCCCTTGTGGGGCCACCAGGCTATAGGCCGAAGGTTCGCAGCTTCCTGTACCAGTTGCAGCTTCCAGTTTCCACTGTGTTACAGTTCTACTTTTTGCTGCTTACTGTTCCTTGTTGATGGACCGCGCGGGGGGGGGGGGGGGGAAGGCCCAAACGGGCAGGTTTAGCACGCCCTGAGCGTGTGCTCTGAATTGCTGGGGTGGGTAAAAATTTACACCCCTCACGCAGATCGGCGGGGTCAGGGTCCATAAACACAGGGGATGTGCCACATGTTTGAAATTCGGTAGCACCCCTCATGCAAATCGGCAGGGTCAGGGCCCAACAACACATAAAATTTGCCACATTTCTGAAATTCGGTGACACCCCTCACGCAGATCGGCGGGGTCAGGGTCCGAAAACCCAAGGGGTTTGCCACATTTCTGAAATTCGATGGCACCCCTCACGCAGATCTGCGGGGTCAGGGTCCGAAAACCCAGGGGATTCTCAACATTTCTGAAAATCGGTGGAACCCCTCACGCGGATCGACAGGGTCAGGGTAAAGAAACACATGGGATTTACAACATTTCTGAAATTCGGTAACACCCCTCACGCAGATCGGCGAGGTCAGGGTTCAAAAACACATGAGCTTTGCCACATTGCTGAAATCCGATGGCACCCCTCACGCAGATCGGCGGGGTCAGGGTCCGAAAACCCAAGGGATTCTCAACATGTCTGAAATTCGGTGGAACCCCCCACGCGGATCGGCGGGGTCAGGGTCCGAAAACCCAGGGGATTCTCAACATTTCTGAAATTCGGTGGCACCCTTCACGCGGATCGACAGGGTCAGGGTCCAAAAACACATGGGATTTGCCATATTTCTGAAATTCGGTAACACCCCTCACGCAGATCGGCGGGGTTAGGGTCCAAAAACATATGGAATTTGCAACATTTCTGAAATTCGGTAGCACCCCTCACGCAGATCCGTAGGGTCAGGGTCGAACATGATCGACCCACGAACCCGGAAAGGAATATAGACATGTAAGGCATGGCAACGTTTGGAAGGCACCTGATTGGGCGACGGGCAAACGCAATGCTGAGTGTATCGATCTTGATGTACCGTGCCGAGGGCTGTGCTGTGCAGCGCCGTGCTGAATTGCGATGTGCCATGCCGCGATTGTGCTCTATAGCGTCGTGGATCGAGTATTCCTTCGCATCCGAGTCCTGACCGAACTGATCTGGATCTTAAGCTCGAGCTGCCTCAGCACAGAATAGCTGCCCCAGAGCTACTTGACAGGGGAACATGCCAGGAGGACGCGCCGTGGAACGTCCCAAGGGACGCGCCAGGCGACGTGCCAAGGGATGTGCCAGGAAGACGCACCGCGGGACGTGCCGAGGGGACACGCTACGGGACATCCTCAAAATTCCTGCGCGCGGGACGCGGCACGCGCGAGACATCCTTGGAATTCCTGCGAGCGGGACGTGAAAACAAACATTTCGCCTGAGACATCCTCTGAATTCTGGCCCCCCACGAGGCCCCCGCTCGAGACATCCCCCAAGTTTGCAAAACCAGCGTTTCGCTCGAGACATCCTCCACAAATTATGAAAAACAAGCGTTTCGCTCGAGACATCAGGTCAAAATCCAACGACATCTTGGCAAAACAAACGAATTTGTTGAGACATCCTCAAAATTCCTGCGCGCGGGTTCCCTCGAGACATCCTCAACAAATTATGAAAAATTACACTACGCCCGCGCTCCCAGGGCCACGATCCCTCGTAAATTACGCTACGTCAGCGCTCCCAGGGCCACGATCCCTCGTAAGGGTTCCTGGGCCCTCCTGGGTCTTCCTTGGACCTCTTGGGCCCTCCTGGGCTCTCCTGGAGCCTCCTGGAGCTTCTCCTGGGCCCTCCTTGGGCCCCCTGGTGCCTCTTGGAGCCTCCTGGGTCCTCCTGGGCCCTCCTGGGCTCTCCTGGGCCCTCCTGGGCTCTCCTGTGCTCTCCTGGAGCCTCCTGGGCCCTCCTGGGCGAAGTCAAGGTCCGAAAACACATGGGACTTGCCACATTTCTGAAATTCGGTGCCACCCCTCACGCAGGTCGGCGGGGTCAGGATCCGAAAACACAGGGGATTTGCCACATTTCTGGAATTCCGTGCCACCCCTCACGCAGATCGGCGGGGTCAGGGTCCAAAAACATAGGGGATTTGACACATTTCTGATATTCCGTGCCACACCTCACGCAGATCGGCGGGGTCAGGGTCCAAAAACAGGGGATTTTACACATTTCTGATATTCCGTGCCACACCTCACGCAGATCGGCGGGGTCAGGGTTAAAAAACACAGGGGATTTCTGCTATTTCCAAACTTATGCAACTTCAAGAATCCAAAACTCCGTTCCCAGCGCCGTTCCGGAGGCCGCGGTACCTCGTTATTTATCGAGCGAACGCGTTCACATCGTTTTTTTATAGTTTACAGTCGATGTCGGAAAAAAGTGGACTTCACCTGTGAAATATCGAGGTTTCCTTAAAGGCAGTAAAATTCCAAGAGCACGATCTGCGTGAGGGGTGGCGAAAAATGGCCTTCGTCCTCACAATTGAAATCCGCTGGCCCCCTTCGACCATGTAATTCATCGCACAAGAATTCCGCCGGCCCCCTTCAAGTCGAAACCGGGGGGTAAACCAACTAAAAGAGAACCCTGGGCCCATGCCCTTTCCGGGAAAAAACAAACAGTTCCCGACTCTGCTTCACGGCGGCGCCCAGACCTCATGATTTAGCTGTTGCATCTCTCGTTATCCGAGACAGGGGGCCGGCGGCATGGGGCGAAGCCCTTACGGATACGGAACGAGGCCCCTTTTCTCCAGAAGTGAAACTTCGACTACCCATCGAAAACCTAAGGAAAACCTGAGGCAAACTGTGAAACAATCAAGGAACACCGAGCCCCTCCCCAACGAAAAGGGTTCCTTCTTCAGCGCCCCGACTGTACAAGGACGGCCCAAGAGGGCCCCCAGAGAGGCGAAAGACGTCTCAAGAGACCGCCCCAAACGCCCCCTAGACCCTGCCTAACCTTTCCTGCGGTCCGAATGTCCTCCAACTGTACACCCGAGGGGCTCTCGAAAAGGCTCTCTTACATAGTGGCCAGCGCGCTCTCAGCAGAAACTATCCACCAATTCGAAACCAGAGTCAACCTGAAGGACGCACTGTACGAACACTCGGACCACATAGGTTGGCGGCCATGGTGTAAGCACGACGAGATCGAATCGTATGCTATGACGGCCCAAGAGGCCACCAAGACCACCCCTAAACGGCGCAACAGGCCTCCAACAGGGCCCCCAAACTGCATAAGAACACCCCAAGACGGCCCAAGAGGCGCCCAAGGCAGACAAAGAGGGCCCCAAACGGCCCCCAAAAGGGGCTCAAGAGAGGGAGCACGAACCGAACATGCGAGACTTCCACCCCAAGAGGCCCCAAAGAGGCCCCCAAGAGGCCCAAAGAGGCCCCCAAGAGGCCCCAAAGAGGTCCCAAGAGGCACCCAGAGGCAAGATGGGCTGAAGGCCATTGGACAACAGTCGTCGTGCTTCGAGTAGTACGCAATTCACCGAATGTCTGACGCATCGGTTGCTCAACACGTGCCACTCTAGGGGCCACCGGCAACATCTAATTTGACGGGTTGGTAGCAGCAACCACAGCGACCGACTACATCGCATGTACTTTCGGAGCAGCGCCAGCTCACTGACATGTCACATGCATACCTGTATCAGAGTGAAGGGACCGAACGGTCATTCACTCTCCCTGGGTGCGTGGCTGAAGTGGGGGTCCGCGGTGCGGATTGTGGTTGCGTTGCGTTGCGTTGTTGTCGTCGTCCTTTTCACGACCCGGCCAGCGACCCGCCCTTGACCCGCCCTTGACCCACCCGCGACCAACCCGCGACCCACCCGCAACCCGCTCGCGACCCACACGCGACCCACCCCGCGACCACCGCCTCACTCTTATCCGCAACCGCGGGGTGCTACATATGAATACACACCTATGAATGCATGCACTCTCCTCCCCTTCATCGCATGAATTCTCTTCCCTTCGTACCTCTCACTTCCTCGCCCAAGCCCTGCGCCCCCTCTTGCGATGCACTCCCGCTGGGGTGAGCCCCCCGTTCGTACTCACCGTCTCCCGCCACACCGTGCTCTTTACACCCCTCGACTCCCCTTCTCCGCCTGCCCCATGTCTGATCTCGACTTCTGAAGGACGGGGTGGAGGGCGAGAGGGGGACTGGCACGAGGGAGGGCGGGGGGGGGAGGATGCGGCGAGGGAGGATGCGGGGAGCAGGAGGACGGGAGGGCGAGAGGGGAGGAGGGCGAGGGGGCTATGAGAAAAGGCGGGCGGTAGCGAGGGCGGGGAGGGCAGAAGGATGGGAGGGCGAGAGGGCGGATGGGGAGTGGAAGGAGGGGGCGGATGGCGAGCTAGAGGCGAGGGTGGGGCCGAGATTCGCACGGCGCCGACTGTCGGCCCGAAATCGCGCTGCCTCCGGCGAGCTCGGCAACGCATCGCAGTGTCTCGCCCGGCCACGTCGCTGAGCTCGCGGCGTACACGAAATCCGCGCGCCGCTGCAGCCCGATCTCTGTCCAGAAGGACATCCTCTTGGGGTCGTACGCCTCGCGGTTCGGAAACAATGCCCTGGACTTGGCTCGGCGCATATGGAAGGTCAACTGTCCGGCTCCGTCCGGGTCCAACCCTGCGAGCGGACGACGTCCGAAGCGAAACCGGCAGAACGCGCTCTGCGAAATGCGAAGGCCGTGGTGTTGCCCTCCTCTTCCTCCTCTTCTCCTCCTGCTCCTCTGTCTCGTTCTGGTTCCACACCGCCCACGGTTCAGTCGGGCCTGTCCCCCTACAGGCCGATTTTGAACGGAAAATTAAACAATACCCCCAACATGCACCAAAAATGCGCAAAAATTGTCAAACAATTGTCCCCAGACTGTTTTTTTGTGACTATTTTTGAACATTGCCCCTGTAGAGGGGCAGGCCCGACTTACGTCCACAGCCCAGGCGCCTCAAAGCGCATCACTCTGCGCGCTCGCTGGCACCGTCCCTTCGCGCGCATGCTCTCGCGCGCACAGGAGCGCACACTTGCACCCTCGACGCGCGAGTGGGGCCAAGCCAGCGGTGACAGCTGTGGGAACGCCAGCTCGCCATCGCTCGGACGTCCATTCCCTGTGCTTTTTTCGGTTTCGTGCGTGGCTTTTTCGCCAAATGATCAAGGATGCTCCTCGATGGTCCTCGCCGAGAAAAAATGCACACGTCCGAGCGATGCCAAGTGAAGCGCGAGGCAGGAGTGAAACCCACGGGAGCGCGCAGCCAGCGGCGAGGTGGCGGCACCGTCGCGAGTAGAAGGCGGGGCACCATCAGTCCAATCAACACCCGGCGCTGCAGATGGAGGACCTGGGTACGGGGCAGACGCGTACACGCACACACACACACACACACACACACACACACACACACACACACACGCACACGCGCACACGCGCACACGCACACACACACACACACGCACACACACACACAACACAACACAACACAACACAACACAACACAACACACCACACCACACCACACCACAACACAACACAACACAACACAGCACAACACACCACAACACAACACAACACACCACAACACAACACAACACACACAACACACACACGCACACACACACACGCACACACACATGCACACACACAACACACACACAACACACACACACACTTTTTACGCCGTAGCGCGGCAGAGTCAATCCGCACGCGCGCTCGGGCAAGCCGGGTAACGGCATCGCTGATTGTCTGGCGGCCAGAGCATATACGCACACACACACAGACGCACGCACGCACGCACGCACACACGCACACACACACACACACCAACACACCCCAACACACCCCAACACACACAATCCTTCGCTTCGCCTTCGGTGGCAATTCATGGGAGCCTCCCATACCATCTTGTCGGCTCTTGCGAATCGACGCGAATCGAAGCTAGTCGACGCTAATCGACGCTGAGTGGACGCTGGTCGACGCTAGCCAACGCTGAGCCGGCGCTATCTCACCGACTCCAGACGGCAATCGACGCCAGTCGGACGCGAAAGACGGAGTTGGGAGGGTACACCAGGCCCCAAGTATCTGCCACCGAAGCATTCCTTCGCTGCGCCTGCGTCCACGCCGCAACGGTAGAGGGAAACAATTACTGAGCACTCCCCCTCCCCCCCAAACTCAACGTTGGCACGCGCGGGGGAGACTGCGGTCGCAGTGCGTCTCGTCGGACCCACCGCCAACTCTGAACACTGGGGGGAGGGGGAGGCGTTGACGGATAAATGTGGCACGAGTGTTCGCTCATTTGCTCCGAGGCCCGAAGCACCCGTTCGGTGGTCGGCGCGGGCGCGGGCGCGACCCTGCGGGCAGCAGGCTCCCCGCACGGGCGCACGACGCGCGGCCGCGGGTGGCCGGCCGGGGTCGGCGAGGCGAGGCGCACGGGCCGGCGACGAGACTCCTGCAGGATGCGCCCCCTGAGATCCTTCAGCTCCGCGATGTGGCCCCTGAGCGTCTCCATGGCGACTGGGGAGGCGAGGATGACTGAACCGGTGGATCTATTTCGGTGTCCTGGCACGTCGAACTCCATCGGTTCAGTCATCCTCGCCTTCCCAGTCGCCATGGAGACGGTCAGGGGCCAGATCGCTGAGCTGAAAGATCTCAGGGGGCGTACAGGAGTGGGCCGGCAGCGCGGCAGCTCGGGGAGGGGGGCGGGTGACTGGGAAAGAGATCGAGGGCGAGAGGCTCACCCAGCAGGGACTCGCAATCCGCACGCCGACTGTGTGACGCAGCTGCGTTGGAGCAGATAGCGCTCATCGCGCCCGAGGCCCACCTCTTTGCGAGGGCTCGCTGGCAGTTCCAGCGGGGCCTGCCAACAGCCAGCGATTAGCAGAGGTTGAAAAAGCGAGACTGTCCATCATCGAGGGCAAAAGGTTCACCCAGATACACCCCTGCGTAACGGAACGGCAATTCTACGCTAAGAGCATTGGCTCCGCCCCGAGCGTTTCATAGGCAGTGGCCCAGGTCCAGATACGCGAACGTTCTGCGAAGAAGCGAGGCTCCAGGAAACCGCCCAGGGTCGAGTCCTGACGTTTGGTTTTCTTGAGCCCTTAAGAAACTCGCCATCGCTCGGACGTCCATCCCCTGCGCTTTTTTCGGTTTCGTGCGTGGTTTTTTCGCCAAATGATCAAGGATGCTCCTCGATGGTCCTCGCCGAGGAAAAAACGCACACCTCTGAGCGATGCCAAGGAAATTGATGAGTTTTCTTCAGATGCCTGATGGGTGCCACGAGCACCCCTGCGACAGAGGCCCTCGAGCAGCAGGCGCGCCCGAGGAGGGAAGCGCACGGGGCGGGGGGGCTGTCTGGCAGACGCCCGTGGCAATGCTGAGCACATCGACTGACGCAGTCGGGGTGGTTCTGCCCTTCCACCCCTAAGAAGAAACCGAACGAGTGGAACCAGTGGGGCCACCCCTGTAGCACAAATCGACCATATGTGCCCTCTGGCCTCCTCCTCCTCCTCCTCCTCCCCCTCCCACTGGCTTCTCTGCCGCATCCTTTCTTCTGTTCCTTGCCCAACGGCCATGGAATACTCCTCTGGTATATTGCTTATCCAACGGCCCACCGTGCCAACAAATGTTGTCTTTCGCCTGCGTGCGCAAATACATATGTAGGACCCGCGCTTTGCCGAACGCTCGCCAACATGGGTCTTCGTCAATACGGATGCTGACAACATTGGCATCGGGTCCAAACTGATTTCGCTCCGTGGCGGGCAGAGTGCGCGGTCAAGCCCGTCCAACCTGCGACTTCTGCACACGACGCAATGTGACGGCTACGTCATGCTCATGTGCACACTACAAGCACTGCCGAGCCTTCTCGTAAAACGTCTCGATGCCATGCGTGTCCATGTAGTTCTGAGCGTAAGCTGCCGCACTCACAGGCAACATGTGGAGACAGCGGGAGTACTCGTCTATCAATATGACCTGCAGGCGCCAGTGCAAAGGCGCCCGCCCCAGGGCTTCAAGTCATGCTTGCAAGCAATGTTGAGAAACCCTGCCTGCCTCGTCGTCGTCTTCCCCAAGAACACCAAAGGCCAACATCATTGGGCATAACCGCGACCGTGTGTTGACATGTTACTGGGGAAAGCCTGCTGCGAAACCTCGTGCACGGCTATCAAAATTATTGAAGTGGACTCTGCCAATCCCCGTCAGGGGTGTCGCACACCGTCGGCGTCTGTCTCTGAAAATATTGCCGATGTGTATCGACGAGAATGCACGCTGATGTACCCATCTGCGCACATGCGCGGGGGTGCGCTGTAGTATTATATGCGCTAATATGCATTGCGAAACTGCTCCAAAAGAGTGTGAGAAAACAAACAATCAACCGTACGCTGTCAGTGAGGGCACTATCAACGTCTCCCGTGGGCGTCATAAGGTGAATAAGTCATGGGATATGTCTTCCTGGCTGCCACTGCCTATAACCTATAATCGAATCTGGTGGAATCAACGTGCTCACGATGACAAATCATGTCTGTACCATGCGATCTTCAACCGCCCTTGCATCCTCCATTGGAGCATCCTGGGACGCCTCCCCTCGGGGAGACTGGATGCAATAGCGCAGGGATGGACAGGCTAAGTAGCTACATTGGCGGCTTCCAACAAAACGCAATCGGGGCCTCGCTGCCAAAGGTTGAAATGGCCATCATGTCATATGAACCTAGCGCCTAAGCAGCACGGGTCATTGCCACTCCTTATCAACAAACACTGACAACGTTGGGATGTTTCAACCTCTGCCCTGCTCTACCCGTGTGCCCGGAAGAGAGTCGGAACACAGTCCACAGCATGACGACAAACAATGCGTCGCACGATCTCTTTATGTGACCCTGGCAAAATCTTCGCTACTCCTTCTCGACTCCAAAAAAGCCTACGACGCTTCGGCTCGATGAAATGAACAATCCACTATGCAAGCCAATGAACACATTCAAAATGAAGAAGCTCACCTTCAAGCCTGGAAAAAAATGCCGCAAGTCGCACGCCCACTCCACTCCCTGTCGCGGCAGAAATGGCTGCGGCAAACGGGGAACGTCGCGAGTACTGCCGCAGAGCCGGGAGCAGATAGCGCAGGGGAGAAGCAATTCCATCCCTCAATCGCTGAACGTGCACAAGACGGGCTTGGACAAGGGGTCCATGAGGTTTCGCGACTGCACAACTGCCAACACGCTGTTCGGTTTTCGGCCCAAGTGGGACGGATTCCGGCGTCCTCCTGCGTGCGGGATCTGACCCTGTTGCTCCATTATAGATCCCCTTCTCCTTGCCGATCCGAGGTGACAGGGAGTCAGGGGAACGGGCCGCAGGAAGGAAAGGAAGAGGGAGAGGGGAGAAGTGAAAGGAGGTGAGGGAAGCGAGGAAAGGATGGAGGGGAGGAGAGCGCAGGAGAGTGGAGCAGCGTCGAGGGGAAGGGGGAAGGAACAATATGGGGCTGGCTGGGAAAGGGGAGGGAGGGCAGCGATATCGACAGAGGGGCCCCTTCTTCTCTTCGGTCTCTCCCCTGCTCTCCGCCCCTCCCCCCCACCTACAACACACAGTATACATACTGCTCTCCTCTCGCCCCAGAGCTGTCTTTACTTGCGCCCGTCCATCTCGGATGATGTGATTTTGCTGCTGCACAAGAAACAGCACGAGTCCATCCCCAAGTTGTTTTTGTCCATAGGGCTTTCTCAAGTGAGAATGTTCTCGGCCTTTTACAAGCCACACTCCCGCGGCAGTGCCTGCCACGTCGAAGTAAGGATCTCCCGAGGGCCGCCGTCCACCGGCCCGGCGCCCTCGCCGCAGCGCTGGCCGCGCTGTTGCATGTGGTGCTCCCGCTGCAGGAGTCGCCCCATTTACGCCTCTCCGTCGCTCTCCCTCCCGAGGGGAGGACGCCCTCGTCGCAGCGGCAGCCGTGCTCCTGCACCGGTGGGACTGGTGCTCCCGCTGCAGCGCGAGGCACACACACGATGATCGGTGTTCAAATCGGCGGCCGCCGCATCGGCGCGAAACTCGGAAACGGCACGCCAAATCGGAATCGAATCGGAAGACGCGTCTTCAAATCGGACCGAGATCGACTCGAAATCAGACCGTCCATCGCTCTCCCGCCCGAGGGGGCGACGCCCTCGTCGCAGCGGTGGTCGTGCTGCTGCATCGGGGGCACTGGTGCTCCGGCCGCAGCGCGACAAACATACGATGATCTCCATAGAGAGCCCGCTCAGACTTAGGTCGGGCATGTCCCCCTACAGGCGGATGTGGGAAGAAGCATGACACATAGCAAGACCATCAAACAGCACATGCACCAAAACAAGAAATCGCCCCCACACGACTGGACTATTTCTGAACATTCCTACCGTAGAGGGACGTGCCCGACTTCAGCCCAGACGGAACAGCGGTATCGCCGCGCCCAAGGCACCCTCCTCCCCCGCCCCGCTGTTTCATCCTCTGCCTCCCCCTTGTTCTCAACACCCCCCCTCTTAGTTTGTAACGTGGCAGACTGTGTAACTGAACGCTTCATGCCGGAAATCCGGGGGTTAGGTCGCGCGACAAGTTCTGCGATTGTAACCAAATGATCCTGGAATTCTGCGAACTAGTCGCGTGTCAGGTTGTGTACCAGAACAAGATTACGAGGTTTCCCTGCCGCCAAAAGGGGCAACATAGAAGGTTTATTCAAGTACGGCATTGTCCAAGCACGGCATTATCGGCCAGCCCGCGGGCAGAACTGCAGAGGTTAGCTGCCTCTCGGGAGGCCCCACGCCCACTGCGGCCTGGCTGCTTCCCCGCGCTTCACGGCATGAACGTGCTGCCGAAGAGGGAGGAGGGAGGAGGGAGGAGGGAGGCTCTCTTGGCCGCAATGGGGAACGGTGCTCGGGCCTCCCCACGGCGGGCTGCAGGAGGGAGTTGCGGTGGCGCGCTCGAGCCTCCTGCCGAGGCACCGTGCCTCACCGCCATATGGCCACCCACCCCGCAGGAAAGTGCTTGCGCGGTGGGTCGCCAGGCTGGCCCACCCAGAGAGGGCCAGATTCAGGTCAGGCATGTCCCCCTACATGCGGATTTGGGGCGAAAGCTGAAGACTTGTTAACCCATACTCCCAAATAGCAAAACCAAAAAAAGACAACCAACCGTCCCCTGATTTGTTGAAAATTATGGTGCGGGCACGGCCGCATAAAACCCTCGCAAGACACCCAACCCTGAGAACCCGTGCGCGAGGTGCACCTGAGGGGAAACCTGGAGCACCCTGAACGCAGCAGCTCCTTCAACGGCTGCGGGGAGTCACCGCGCAGCGCGAGGAGCGAAGAAACCCAGGATACCCTAACGAAAAGCATATGGTTTCTTGATGCGCGCCCCCACTGTATGTTTGAAGACTCTTCCTGTAACGCCTTAGGACTGCAAGCACCGGCCTCCCAACGCCTGCCGCCTCCTCCTCCTCGTCCCCCCCCCGCTCTCCTCGTGCCCTCCCACGTCCTGACTCCCAGGGGTTCAGACTCCCGCAGACCACGGCTGCCCCCCGAGTGCCGAGGACTGCTCTTCCTACGCTCGAGAGAGAGAGAGAGAGGAAGAGAGAGGGAGAGAGAGAGGGAGCGAGAGAGAGAGAGGTGGAGAGAGATGGAGAGAGAGATGGAGAGAGAGAGAGAGAGAGACCGAGATTGAGATATAGAGAGACAGAGAGAGAGAGAGACAGGAAGAGAGACAGATAGAGAACGAGACCGACAGAGAACACAAGCAAACAGCAAAAACGAATCCGTAGCCAGTCTGGCTCGACCGCGGGGGCCGCTGCAGCGACGAGCACTACTGTATACTCGTCTTTGGGCGTTCCCGACATGTCGGCCGAGGCGTCTGTGTCGGTCGGGGTGGCGGGGACGCCCAGCGTGGTTGAGCCCATCGCAGCCTACCTGGAACGTTCAGAGGCTTTCTTCGCTCCCATGTCGTCGTAAACTTAGCTGCCCCGATACGCAACATGCAACACGTAACGTATTGATACGGAGCTCAACATGTAGGCTGAAAACGTGGGTCCGACGCGATGCACTCGCCAAAACGTGGTCCAATACGCGGAGAACCAACACGCAACGTAATGACACGGACGTCTTGAACACGGGACGTATTGCGCTTCAAAACGGGCGCATCGAGGCAACTAAGGTCGCAAAGTCTGGCTCAAAGAGGCCCTGGGGTTAAGTCGAGCGCGTCCCCCTACAGGGGGATCTTCGACGATAAAAATACCCAGAACATGCTCAAACCATGCTCAAAAATGCTCAACAAATAGTCCCCTGACTATTTTTAAACTATGTTTGAATATTCCCCCTGTAGCGGGGCAGGCCCGACTTAATCCGATCATCGAATTCACAATGTGTTTAAACTGTCGGAACATGTTCTAGACATGCTTTAAGCATGTTTTGCTTTACCTGCCTGAAGCGTGCTTAAGACATGTTGTAGACATCTGGAAGTGATTTGGCAGCATGCTTTCTCTCCACTGACCGTCCTCCACAATGCGGACGAGGCTGCAGGCGGCGCGCTGTGTTGAAGGGGCCCTGGGACACACAAATAAATACACACAAATAAAAGGATTCCCCATATTTTCCTATATTTTCGGGGTTTTTGTCATCCCCCACACTTCCCATATTTTTCCATGTTTTCCTGGGAGTCGACGATTAATTGTGTCTGTGTGTTTTCTCCCCTCCTGATGTGTGGAGACGGCAGCAGCCGGCGGCGGCGGCGGCGAAGGTGCAGTCGGCGGCGGTGCAGGCGGCGGCGAGGCCCGACACGTGGCGGCCGCGCTGGCAGCCGTCGGGGGCAGCCGCGGAGGTGGTGGTGGCCACCTTTACAAGGGAGAAAACGAACCTACCTCGCTTTTGACCACCCTCGCTTCCAAGAGATACCAAGCGATGCCAAACTACGGCCTGTACTGGCCAGGTCGCTTGACGAGGAGGCGCGTGGCATGACTTGGTATTTCCTGGAAGCGAAAGCGGGGTAGGTAATTCACGCTTTGATTTCATCTGGCACGTCCTCCGACAGGCGGAGTTCGGAGGAAGACGGAAAAATAGCCCAAAACGATGAAGCAGAATGAAGACGCCGACTATGTGTTGGCTGTGCTTGCATATTCCTCCTGCAGGCGGAGTTCGGAGGAAAACTGAAAAATAGCCCAAAACGATGAAGCAGAATGAGGATGATCAAGCATATCGTCCCCCGACTATTTGTTGGCTGTGCTCGGATACTCCTCCTGTGGAGGGGCGTGCCCGACTTCAGGCCGTCTCCGATAGCGCCGTCCTGGCGGCGGCAGGGCATGTGGTGGCTGCCACCGGCCATCGAGCGCGGCTGCCGCGCGCTCGACGCGGCAGGAACTCTCCTGCGCCACCATTGGCGAACGGGGGAGGCGGTCCTCGCGCAGGCACGGGCCTCGGCTGCCGGGGAGTGCAGCGGCCAAGCTCACGACCTCGGAGCTCGCTCAGGACTGCGGCACCCACGGGAGCGACGAGAGCTTCTACGTGGAGGCCGAGGCCACGTGCGCCAAAGAATCCTTCGACCTGGCTGCGCCCGTGGCGGAGTCGCAGGCCTGGAGCAGCAACGCGGTGGACTCGCACCAGGAGAAGGAGCTGGAGCTGACGGGGTGCGACGCGGAGCTCAGCGAGCAACTGGCCAAGCGCTCGGTCGCGCAGGAGTGCGCGGATGATGAACACACGACAAGCCTCGGAGATCGTCCAGGACTTCCATTTCGCGAGGGCCCAGGTCTCCCCACCGCTTACCCAGGTGTAGGTTTGTGTGCCGGATCCATGTCTAGGTCGGGCATGTTTTCGTACAGGCGGATGTTGGAAGAAATAAGTGGTCAACGAATAACCACACATAGCCGAACATAACAGAAACATCGCCCCCAGACCATTTCCTGCCTATTCTTGAATATCCCTCCTGTAGAAGGCCGTGCCCGACTGAAACTCATGTTTAATGGCCCCGGGCTCGAAAACGGTCCCCGAGAGCCGGCATCGAGGGCGAAACAAAGATCAGATCGTCGGAGGTCCCCTGTCCCGACGGGCCCGAGAGGGAGCCCGAGGGCCTGGCAGCGTTGGCGGCCGCATGCGCAGCCCCCTCCCCCTTCTCCTCCTCCTCCTCCTCATCTTCCTCCTCCTCCTCCTCCTCCTTCTCCTTCTCCTTCTCCTTCTCCTCCTCGTCCTCCTCCTCTCCTCCTCCCTTTTCCCCCCACCCCCCTTCCACCTTCGCTCCCCCTTCCCGTTGGCCCTCTCCCCGCCACCCACGCAAAAAAAAGAAGCGCTCCCGACGGGCCCGTGGAGAACCAGAGGCCAGGACAGAGACAAGGTCGGATCGGGCCAAATCGGAGGGGTCGGCGCCGAATAAGAGCTCTCCCGACGGGCCCGAGGAGAACCGAGCCAGGGCAGGGACAATGCCGGATCGGGACAAATCGGAGACTCGAGAAGAGGGTTCGAGGATCGAGGATTCGAGGGGATCGAGATTCGAGGATTCGAGGGGTCGAATAATTTCAAGGGAGGATTCGAGGACTGAGGATTCGAGGGGATCGAGGTTCGAGAGGATCGAGGATCGTTGAACTTAGCTGCACCCTTTCGTCGATAGATCGGGCGCGGCGGCCGTTGCAGAGAGTTTTCTGGAGCGCTCTGGGAGCGTTCTCGAACGCCATGGAGCGATCTGTCCCGATCCTCAGCATCGTTGATCTGATCCCTGTCGCCACTGGCCTGGCCTGGGTCCCATTGGCCGATCTACCTCCCTAGAGGGGGATACTTGCTTTTTCCGTTCGGGTTTCGAGGAGCCTGTCCCCGACTGGGATGGTGGGATGGTAGGGCTGAGAAACCATGGCCCTATGGGGATTGAGATATGTTCAACGATACTGACCTCCCAAATTCGTCCCAGAGACCTTCCGCGAAGAGGAGCGAGAAGGTTCAACGATACTGAGCTCACCGTTTAGGATTGAGATCCTAGGCCTGGTACTAGGCGCCGATATGGAAGATGCAGCGGGCGCCGTGGCCATCCCAGAGCGTTCCGGAACGCTCTGGGAGCTCTCTGGAAGGCTGTGGAGCGATCTACTCCGATCCCTGACACACCGACCCAAACATGCGACGTCTTGATTATTTCTATACGCGGCTCCCGGAAGTCCCGGCCCTTTCCCCGGGACCGGTTCTTCATCCTGCGTTGTTCCCAACCATCCTGTGGTGTTGGGTCCTCGTTTTGAAGAGACGGTCACCGCGTCCCTCCTCCTCCTCTTCTCCTCCTCCTCCTCCTCCTCCTCCTCCTCCTCCTCCTCCTCCTCCTCCCCCTCCTCTCCCTCCTCCCTCCTCCCTGCGTTTCACCCACACAGTACAGAGCTTCGTGGCCCCATAGGGAGCTCCACCGAAGGTCCCAATGCGACCGCCCGCATGCGTCAGCCACCACCCAGCACAGCCCTTGCTCCCTGCGTTTCTCCTATTCAATACAGCGCTTCGTGGCCCCACAGGCAGCTCCACCGAAGGTCCCAATGGGACCGCCCGCATGCGTCAGCCACCACCCAGCACAGCCCTTGCTCCCTGCGTTTCACCCACCCTGTACAGCGCTTCGTGGCCCCATAGGGAGCTCCACCGAAGGTCCCAGTGGGACCGCCCGCCAGCGTCAGCCACCACCCAACACAGCCCATGCTCCCTGCGTTTCACCTACCCTGTACAGCGCTTCGTGGCCCCACAGGGAGGTCCACCGAAGGTCCCAGTGGGACCGCCCGCATGCGTCAGCCACCACCCAGCGCAGCCCTTGCTCCCTACGTTTCACCCACCCAGTACAGCGTTTCGTGGCCCCGTAAGGAACTTCACCGAAGGTCCCAATGGGACCGCCCGCGTGCGTCAGCCACCACCCAGCACAGCCCTTCACCCCCTGCGTTTCACCCACCCAGTACAGCGCTTCGTGGCCCCATAGGGAGCTCCACCAAAGGACCCAGTGGGACCGCCCGCCAGCGGCAGCCACCACCCAGCACAGCCCTTGCTCCCTGGGTTTTACAACGCTTCGTGGCCCCATAGGGAGCTCCACCGACGGTCCCAGTGGGACCGCCCGCCAGCGTCAGCCACCACCCAGCACAGCCCTTGCTCCCTACGTTTCACCCACCCAGTACAACGCTTCGTGGCCCCATAGGGAACTCCACCGAAGGTCCCAACGGGACCGCCCGCGTGGGTCAGCCACCACCCAGCACAGCCCTTTACCCCCTGCGTTTCACCCACCCAGTACAGCGCTTTGTGGCCCCATAGGGAACTCCACCGAAGGTCCCAATGGGACCGCCCGCATGCGTCAGCCACCACCCAGCACAGCTCTTGCTCTCTGCGTTTCACACACCCAGCACAGCGCTTCGTGGCCCCACAGGGAGCTCCATAAAAAAAGATCCCAGTGGGACCGCCCGCATGCGTTAACCACTACCCAGCACAGCCTTTCCTCCCTGCATTTCGCCCACCCAGTACAGCGCTTCGTGGCTCCATAGGGAGCTCCACCGAAGGTCCCAATGTGACCGCCCGCATGCGTCAGCCACCACCCAGCACAGCCCTTGCTCCCTGCGTTTCACCCACCCGGTACAACGTTTCGTGGCCCCATAGGGAGGTTCACCGAAGGTCCTCCCTGCCCGCATGCGTCAGCCACCACCCAGCACAGCCCTTGCTCCCCGCGCTTCACCCACTTAGTACAGCGCTTCGTGGCCCCACAGGGAACTCCACCGAAGGTCCCAGTGGGACCGCCCGCATGCGTCAGCCACCACCCAGCACAGCCCTTGCCCCATGCGTTTCACCCACCCGGTACATCGTTTCGTGGCCCCATCGGGAGGTCCACCGAAGGTCCCGGCGGGGCCGCCCACAGCGTCAGCCACCACCCAACACAGCCCTTGCTCCCTGCGTTGCTCCTCCCCAGTACAGCGCTTCGTGGTCCCATCGGGGGTTCCACCGAAGGTCCCAGTGGGACCGCCCGCATGCGTCAGCCACCACCCAGCACAGCCCATGCTCCCGCGATTCACCCACCCAGTACAGCGCTTCGTGGCCCCATAGGGAGGTCCACTGATGGCCCTACCGGCATCGCCCGCATGCATCAGCCACCATCCAACGCAGCGTTTCGTGGCCCCATAAGGGGGCTCCATCCGCATGCGTCAGCTACCATTCAGCAAAACGCTTCGTGGCCCCATAAGGAACTCCACCGATGGTCCCATTGGGACCGCCCGCGTGTGCCAGCCACCATCCAGTAGAGCGTTTCGTGGCCCCATATGGAACTCCACCGAAGGTACCAGTGGGACCGCCCGAATGCGTCAACCACCATCCAGTACATCGTTTCGTGGCCCCATAGGGAGCTCCACTGAAAGATCCCGTTTGCACCGCCCGCGTGCGTCGTCCACCACCCAATACTCTATTTCGTGGCCCCATTGATTGGGAGCCTCACCAAGCCCCAGTGGCACCGCCCGCATGCGCCCCCCCCACCCAGTAAAGCGTTTCGTGGCCCCGTAGGGAGCTCCAGTGGTCCGCTCGCATGCGACCCCCCACCCGGTACAACGTTTCGTGGGCCCATAGGGAGCTCCACCGAAGGCCCCAGTGGCACCGCCCGCATGCGTCCCCCCTCCCAGTACAGCGCTTCGTGGCCCCATAGGGGACCCCACCGAACCCCCCACTGGCACGCATGCGTCGGCCACTACCCAGCACAGCGTTTCGTGGCCCCGTAGGGAGCTCCACAAAAACACCCCAGTGACACAGCCCGCGTGCGTTTCCCCAACCAGTACAGCGTTTCGTGGCCTCATCGGGAGCTCCAGCGAAGGGCACCGCCCGCCTTCGTCCGCCACGCCCAATACAGCGTCTCGTGGCCCATAGGGAGCCCCACCGAATGCCCCAGTGGCACCGCCCGCATGCGCCTCCCCCACCCATTACGACACGTCCCTCACGCGTTCCGTGGCCCTATAGAAAGCTCCACCGCAAGCGGCACGCACAACGCGTTACTCACAACTGCATATGGTGGGGTCCTTCGCCGGGATAACTTTTGACTCTTGAAGGTCCTGGGGCCTGGGAAGGCCAGAAATGGCCCAAAACCTCCCGTCGTGAGCTTCTTCTTTCCACGGTGCGATCCTGCCTGGGGGGGAGGCGGCGCGAGGAGGCCTGGTAGTCGGCGCCGACCACGAGGGCGCTGCGGCCCCGGTCCTGCAGCCGGCCCATGTCCGACAACCGCCGGTGCTCTTCGAGGATGTGCCGGCGCCGCCCGGCCACTGGAGGGGGAGCGGCGCGAGAGGGCGGGCTGGCGGCGATTTGGCTTGAAGGTGATGTTGGGAAGCAGGGTGTAGGCAATCACGAACCACGCGTTCTTTTTTTCCTCCAGAAGCGATTTATTTCAGAACGTGCTGTAAGTCACCCTGATGACTTTCGGCGCACATTCTGGGATCCCTAGGGACGCGTCTTCCCGCCGCCACTGCACACAAGAAATCACGAACAACACGTCCCTGCATGTCCAACCTGCGACCGGATCGAGCGAACACGACACGGCGAATTGCAGGAAAGCGCGAGCCAGGCGTTCCCACACTGCCGAAACCCACATCGCCGGTGCCTACATCGCCGTTAGCCCGTCTCCGGGGGTTGCCACCAAGAGATAATCGAGATACTCGGGGATCTAAGGTCGAAACATTCGAGGGAATGATTCGAGGATCGAGGATTCGAGGGGATCGAGATTCGAGTGGATTGAGGATCGTTGACCTTAGCTGCCCCGATCTGCAGAGGGGATCGAGATTCGAGGGGGTCGCAGGTCGAAAAATTCGAGGGGAGGATTCGAGGATCGAGGATTCGAGGGGATCGAGATTCGAGGATTCGAGGAGTCAAAGAATTCCAGGGGAGGGTTCGAGGATCGAGGATTCGAGGGGATCGAGTTCGGGGGGATCGAGGATCGTTTCTCTTGTATCTCGCCTCACCCTTGTTGCGTCGATCTACTGGGTGAGTCTGCACATGACCTCGGCAAGCTCACTGATCTGTTCAAGAGCAGCCGGCCGTGCCCTTCGCAACGTGGCGGCAACAAGGCATGAGCGCTTCAGAAGCGGAAGAACACTGATCATCTCCACTCCCAACCACCCACCACCCCCGCCCCTCGCTCCCTCACCTGTGCGGCGGCCATCTGGACTCTGGACAAGCCGAGGCGCGCGCCGAAATAGTAACGGCTCCAGCAGAGGATGCGAGAACGAAGAAGAAAGAAGAGGAGGCGGATGGGAAACGAGAGCCGGGGAGGGAGGGCACTCCTGAGAGTAGCCAGGAGCTCGCGGTGTTGGCGTGGCCTATCTCCAAGGATGTTGGGGTCGCCTGTCTGCAACCCCAGGTTGCAAAGAAGCATACACTCAGCAGTGCCCACGAATGGCGAGGAGCGCAGGGAAAGCCTGAAACGAGGAGAGACCACGGGCGGGGGCTCGACATCAGTCTGACGCGGCGCGTACAGCGACTGTGTACACAGAGCGGAAGGAATCCCTCGACGGCAAGCCCTGGACAGGATGAGAGGACTCTTCGGGTAGTGTTGCCAGAACTTAAACGGCGGCGGCGAGACTACTGCATCGATGCTCGGCAGTTGAAGGGACTGCGCCCTCACGGGGAAAACCTATTCCCAACAAGCAGCGTAACTGTTCCGCAGTGGAAGGCACAAATGACGTGCGCCCTCAGGGTGGAGGCGATCCCCAGGTCCCCAGAAGACTTTCCCCTCGCTTGCTCATGGCGCCAACCGGCTGCCAGCTTCAGCGCATCGGGGCTGGCAAGTCCTGCCCCCCCCCCCCCTGTACCTCGAAAGCCCCCGGGAAAACGTTCGCATCCAAGGGAAGCGCAACCACAAGCACGAACGGCTGCACGGCCTTGCCTGAGCCGTGCTTCTTGCGGTCGGGGTGGTGCAACTTTCTCACACGATTCAACTTGGATGCGGTGTGAGCGGAATCCGGAACTTGCAGACCTCACGCTGGTCAGCCACGGATTTACCTTCCGTGGGGCAGCTGCACCGAAGACATATGACCAGAATGCCTTCTGGGTGAGGGGTGATGTAAAGGTTACGTCGGGCTTGTCCCCCTACAGGGGGATGTTCGACGAAATTCAAAAAATATTCAAAACATACTCCAAAATGGTCAAAACAGATTTGAAAAGTAGTCCCCAGACTATTTTTGACTATTTTTGAATATTCCCTCTGTAGAGGGCCAGGCCCGACTTGAACGTAAAGGCTGTGGCCCTGAGGGGTGGAGCAAACAGCCACGAGGCGGCGGCTCTCGCCCGTGCACGCGCCCAGTGGCAAAGCCACTGCGCTGATTTGGCACGTATTTTGGCCTGCGCGGTGCGGCTCTGCTCGGCTACACTAGGAGGCCTCCTCCTCCTTCTCCTTCTCCTTCTCCTCCTCCTCCTCCTCCTCCATTCTCCGTCTCCTCCTCCTCCTCCTCCGTCTCCTCCTCCTCCTCCTCCTCCTCCTGCTCCTCCTCCTCCTCCTCCATCCTCCTCCTCCTCCTCCTCTCCTCCCTCCTCCCCCTCCTCCCCCTCCACACAATTAGAGGCCTCCTAGATGGGGTCGAAGCAGATGGGGTCGGAGGCTCGCGCCGCATCGCCGATACATCGGCGCTGCATCGGTGATGCATCGCCGATGCATCGGCGAGGCAACAGCGACGCATCGGCGTCGTCGGCGTGGAGAAGATCGGGCTCCACATCGAGCCGCATCGCCGATGCACCGGCGATGCGGAGCGATCCTCCGACCCCATCTACTCGGACCCCATCTAGGAGGCCTAGATACACGCAGGAGTGACCCTGGGTCAGGGTGGACCTCTGGTGCGCGACTTTTTGGGGGTCGCGGGGAGGCCCAACCTGGGCGCGCAAGCAGCTGCTACTGCCTCGTCTTCGGCCATTTGGGGACCCATCTGTGCCCGCACCAAAGGTCACTCCGGCGAAAGGTCACACTTACGCCTAGTCGATCTGGGAGCCGGACCGCTGGGCCGGCGCGGGACCTGCGCATGCAAAGTCTACGGTTAGGTCGGGCATGTCCTCCTACAGGCGGGCTTGCGAAGAAAAGTTGACGTAGTCAGAAAAGAATTCGTATATTGCCACCAAGACATCGAAACATGGTCCGCGAACCATGTTTGGACCATTTTGGGATACTCCTCCTGTAGAGTGACATGCCCGACTTAGGTCTGCCGTGCCGTGCACTGCGACGCCACAGCCAGTCGTCGAGGGCAGGGGAGGCGGAGGTGGAGGGGCGAAGGCGGGAGGCAGAACCGGACTGCCCCTGGGTGCGGCGGGGCACCGCAGCCGCAACCGCCGCTGTCCTTGGAGCGTCCACTCCGGAGAGTGGGACGCAGAAGGCAACTGACGAGCGAACCTGATGATTCTGCATCGGTTTCTGTACGTGAGCTCGCTCTGTAGCTCCCCTACAGCCCGTGTTACGTGCGAAAACGGACAGCACCTTCCAAGGAGACTCGAACGATACGAATAGTTCCCGGAGAGCTCGCTGAGAGACACTCTAGTACTACGTGCCCTCTCCCGACCGAACCTGAAGAGAGCGACTTGGACGCACGAGGTGGCAGGGGGTACGGGAGCACGGTCCCGCTGCGGCCTTCATGCGAGGTAGGAGGCAACTGCACTTAAGTCGGGCGTGCCCCCCTACAGGGGGATTTTCGACGAAAACTAAAAGATCCGCAGACAATGCTCCAAAATGCTCCAAAATACTCACAAATAGTCCCCAGACTATTTTTTGACTATTTTCAGAAGTTCCCCCTGTAGAAAGACAGGCCCGACTTGAGCCTGGTGCCCGAGTGGCCCCGTGGGCGCACGCGCCGCTGTGCGCGGCTTGAGGCTCTCTGCGGGCATCTCGACGACGGGCGTCCGGGACGTGCCCTCCAGAAGGACAGGCCAGTGCTGCGTGCCCTCTCCGGAGGCGTGCGTCCGACCCGAGCATCTGCTACAGTCGGGGCGTTGACCTAAGGAACCCTCAATGAGGAACGAGGCCGCTCTTTTGCCATAAGCTAAACCTCCCCCTCCTCCTCCTCCTCCTCCTCCTCCTCCTCCTCCTCCTGCTCCTCCTCACACATCACACACTTCCTCCGCCTACCCTGTCACGTTGTCCTTTAGCTCCTTCCTGTGATCACACATCCCGTCGCCATCGACGGCCAAAACCTTCAGGGTCGGCGGCACCGGCCGTACGGCCTTCACAATAAGGACGCTTTGTTCCCATAAGTTAAACTTCGACTCCCCCTCGAAGACCCAAAGAAACCCTGAGACAAACTAGAAAACAATCAAGAAACACTGAGCCCCCCCCAACGAAAGGTGTTCCTTCTTCAGCACCCCGAGTGCACATCCATCTTTAGGGGAACAAGAACTCACATAAACATAACAACTCGGAGGTCCGGGCGGATTTCTCGGATAGGCGCTGGACCCCCTCCCTGGCGCGCGGAGCGCGCCAGGGGCGGCGCCAGAGGCGCCGCCGGGGGGCCCCTGCGCCGATCCGAGAAATCCGCGCGGACCTCCGATTTTTTTTTATGTTTATGTCACTTCGTGTTCCCCTAATCTTGTAGTTTGTCGTTTCTGGAGCGGCGCGGCCGGAAAGCAAGATTTCTCGGCGCGCGCGTCGCGGAGTGCGGCAGCAGCAGCAGCACTCCCCACGCGAAGAGATGACAGGGTGGGGCGAATTTGGCCAGCGCACGCGTCGACCCTCCCTAGGGGGGAGCGTCAGAGCAGACGGCACAAATCTGAGGTACTCCTCTAGCACCTTGTCGTCTCCGCCTACAGTCTCGTACTCCCAGAGGGAGGGCTGAGGGAGAGAACTCGCAGCGGCCTTTGCGACCCTATCCGCCTGATCATTACCTAGCGATAGAAAAGCATAATCAGAGAGTATGTCGAGGTCGTCCACATTCTGGTGGGCCTTGACACTCGAAAGCCTCATTGCCGAAGTCCAGACTGGCCCCCCCACGGACCAAATACTTCAAACTATAAAAGATGCTGCCTCTGTTGTAGACTGACTGGGCTGGCTCTGACTGGATTCCCACAAGATTCTGGCAGTCCGCGTAAATGCCCGTAGCTCTGGGACAGCGCGTGGCAACTGCAAGGAGGCTGACACGCTCTGCTGCCGGGGACGTTTGCTTAAGGTAGGACCCCACATGCCCACAAAGTAGCTACAAGGTTGCCGCTATCATCGATCTTGGCGACTCCCCAGCCAGAGCGATGAAGTTGGGTGGGCCCTCGTCTAAGACAGCTACCATCCCCGAAAAGCTTCCCTGACATGATCTCCTCGACCAGCCCTTCGACGACGGACCAGAACACGGAGGCTTCATGTCCAAAACCGTCTCGCCCATGAACAGAAAAAGCTAGGAATGCCTGGAACCCACATTGTAAAGGCCACCTGCGAGAAGGATCTTCCAGAATTGGCACGGCTTCTCGAGCGAGCATGCCTGCCCCGAGCTCCGCCGTGCGACCATGTGAGAACAGTCGACGGTAAATAGAATTGCATTCACCACAGTACTTCAAGACAGGCTCCACGTCGTAGCCTGCTGGCGCGAGCCTCCCCGAGTCCATATGACTTCAACCAGGAGCGATAGCAAGGCGCTATTCTGGGGAGACTCGAAGCAGGAAGAGTGCAAGAGAAGATGAGCGACAGCAGCGTGTACAGCCTCACCATCCTGCACGCCTAACTTCGCCGCCGCCTGCCCGCTCATCCTGTCGGCCTAATCTTCGGACGCCATGCCCCTCACCTTGCGGGGGGATGTGGAAGTAAGCTCAAACGACCGCCCCGGCGTAAGCAAAAAGGATAACGGCCCATCGAACTTCCACCCGATGCGGTCGAGGAGGGGCTGGCTGCCCCAATGGGCCCTTGACGTTGTTCAAGTTCCGAGGGGGATTCTTCAGGATGGGCTGAACTAGTGCAGACAACTTCGGGTAAGTAAAACTGCGAGGATGAGGAGGAGGAGTCAGGAGGGAGGAGGGAAGAGGAGGGAGGAGGGGGGAGGCTCATGAGGCCACCGCCCTCAAAAAGAAGCGCGGGCGGCTCCGGTGCGCTCATCCAACGCCGGCCAGTCGCTCACCTCCGCAACCGGTCAGGGCACGCGAGGTGGCGGGGAGGAAATCTGTGCTTCGCCCTCGTCTCCTCCACCTCCTCGCCCTCGGGGCCGAAAGAAGAACGGGGGGCGAGGACGAGGAGAGCCAGGACGACGAGGGGGCCAGGTGGGGAGGGGCAGGAGGGATATGATGAGAAATAGAAGAAGGGAGGTAGAGACATGAAGTTGGAGGAGGTTGGAAAACGACTGGATCTCTGCACGCACCCTGAAGAGGAGGGAAGAGGGAACGCTGCTTGACTCTTGAAGTATGAAAGCGCCTAACATAGATCGGGCTCTTGGTGAGGAAACCAAAAGGCACCGATACCACTACTCCCCGGACCTCTCCCGGAGTGAGTTCAAACCAAAATTTCGAGGCGAAACCAGCAGTGGCGAGGAAAGCCCCACAGCTGGCCCAAGAAAGCGAAAACGCGGCCAGGGTAGCTGTATGGGTGCCTTTTTCTCCTCTGGCTTGCTGGCTTGGAATCCCACAACGTTCCTCCCCACGACCGATAGATAGGCATTCCCCCGAATGCTGTCCCTGAGCCCCCCTGCTGACGCTTCCTGGCAGCACCGGCGCTCCTCCCAGTCTGTGCGCAGGCTCTGGACGCGGGGCCCGCCGACCAGGACTTCCCGCTCGCCCCCTGCCAGACCCTCCCCGTCCAGCAAGCACTCGTGGCCGCAGCCCAGCCCTCGTCCATCCCTCTGGGGCACCCACGGCCGCAGCGGTCACCTTATCATAACGGCTCCTGCGCACAAGAAACGAGGGCGGCAGACGACACATCAACGCCCCCGTCACGGAAGTGTTATGTCGCACGCTGCGAATTTGGGGGTTCGGGGGCGGCGGACGAGACCTGACTGGGACAGATCGTTTGATGTCCGTTCCATGGGAACCTGCGTAGCGCCCGGCACTGTTTAATTTGGGTCTGATTTGGACCGGATTTGGAACAAATTTGGACCGGATTTGGACCAGACTTGGACTGGATTCGTGGCTGGATTTGGAACAAATTTGGACCGGATTTGGACCATACTTGGACTGGATTCAAGGGGGCTACGTAGGAGAACGAGGAGGGGGAGGAGGAACAGGAGGGGAGAGGAGGAGCAGGAGGATGGGCCAAATGTGGTTCCCACGCTGTCCACATGCAGGAAAAGCTGATTTCAATGTCGCCGCCCAAGGCTCCCATGAACAGACATCGAAAGATCGGGGATCTCCGAGATCCAGCAGCTCTGGAGAAGGAAGTCGGGCGGCCCCGCCGTTCCGGAGTGCTCCAGCCGGGCGTTGGTAGAACTGGGTTTAGTGGAACCTGGTTTATTGATCTATACCGGGGGCGCCCCCCCGTCCCATTTCCACTAACCAGAACTGCCGTCACCCGAAAAAACACAAACTATGGCAAACCTGGTTTAGTGATTCTGGCCAATTCGAAGGCTCCGGGGCCCTACCACTAACCGGGTCCCCTTACCCGATCCAGGGCGCTCGGAGAGCGTGCCAACACGCTCTGGAGCGCCTCGTCCCGATTCTGGGCCCGCCCGACCTCTGGTCTCCCCTCGCTGGTCCCCAGCCCAGCATGTCCTGCTCCTCCTCCTCCTCCGCCTCCTCCTCCTTCTCCTCCATCCTCTGGGGCCCGCTGGACATCTGCACTAGGCCCGATCGAAAACAAGCTGAGAACCGCATACTGAACGGTAGAGGATTGGCTCTCACGCGTGAATCGTCAAGCGTGTTGTCTGTGTGACAAACCAAAGCATGCCACGCCACGCCAATCCAAACTGCGACGTCACGGAACGCTGTACAGCCTCACTAACTAAAGTGTCCTATGTCTCGGGTCACGGGGCCAGCATTTATCAACTTACGCAATAATCCGGCGACACCTGCGCCTCCTTAGAAAAAGAAATCCTGCAAGGCGATTTCGGAAACCCTGAACCCCAAAACGCTTTCATCTCCTGGGGCCAACACCTATCACTTCCGCCGCCTTCCGCCGAGCCTCCGCGGGCTTCCGCCGGCGGAGGCGGCGTCGTTCCGCCTCCGCCGACCCCGCGCCGCCCTTCCGCGGCGGAAGAGATGGCAACCCCTCCTACCCTCCAAGGCAAGGACCTGTCTTGGAACGCCCTATTTGACCACTGGGCATCGCTCGGACGTCCATTCCCTGCGCTTTTTTCGGTCTCGTGCGTGGCTTTTTCGCCAAATGATCGAGGATGCTCCTCGATGGTCCTCGCCGAAAGAAGAGTGCACACGTCCGAGCGATGCCAAGTTCTATCCTCCAAGGCAAAGACCTGTCTTGGAACGCCCTATCGGACCAGCGGCCCTGCCAGGGTGCTCTCGGCCACCGCTCTGCGGTCCACGGAGCCCTCCCATGGCGCGGAGCCCCGCGGGCCGGGGGAGAAACGGGGGCCGCCCGTGGACATGACATCTCTCACGTCGGCAGCTGCAGTCGAGGCGTTGACCCAAGGAACCCTACATTGAAGGGGCCCTGGGACACACAAATAAATACACACACACACACATCAAAATAGACCCCATGTTTTCCCATATTTTCTGGGTTTTTGTCTTCCCCCCCACTTCCCATATTTTCCCATATTTTCCCATATTTTCCTGGGAGTGGACGATTCATTGTGTCTGTGTGTTTTTTCTCCTCCTGATACAGAAGGGACGGGGCCTTATTTTTTCCTCCACAAGGGTAGACTTCGATGTCCCATCGAACACGACAGGAAAACCTCCGGCAAGCTGTGAAGCAATCAGGGAACACCGAGCCCCTCCACAACGAAAAGGGTTCCTTCTTCAACGCCCCGACTGTATGCTGGTTTGTATGACCATGGCCCTTCGCCAAAAATCGCTCGTAGAAGTTCTCTGGGGGGGGGCATGCTGGCGTTCCTACCTGAGCAATCGCGGACGTATCCCGTTTGCCGCCTGCCCCTCGGGGTGGCCCTGCGAGCCGCGCTCAGCGACGTCGGCTTCCACAGCGATTCGGTCACCGTCGCGGAGGGGCCGAAGCTGCGCCCGGCGGCGACGAGGCAGTACTCGAACCTCCGCGCCGCACTCGCTCTCACACCCGCCCCAGCAGGGCGTGCTAGCGAAGCTGTTCCTGATGTCAGGCCCGATGATGATGACAACGTTAAGAAGCAACTACTGGGAGGTCTTCGTCGGAATGACTAAGTGGGATTCAAGAGGAGTAAGCTCCATTGAGGGGCTGCTGCGCAGGATTAGGCCGCGGACTAAGCGGGATTAAAACGGATTAAGCGGGATTGAGCGGGATTGAGCGGGAATAAGCCGGGTTAAGCCAGATTTCGGACCAGGGCAAATCAGAACTTGACCTCCGAGGAGTTGCATCCGCAACAACGATGCGCAAGGCTATGATCATGGTTATGGTAGCGATGGTCGCGCAAGGCTCAAACTTAGCGTCGCTGGGCCACAGAGAAACGGCCAGATCTGCAGCAAACGGGGAGCGACTCAAAGCATCCCTGGCGGACAGTAGCACTGTTCTCAAGTCCGCGTCGAGCCGACCGCCTCAATCCTCTGAACCTGCGGCCGCGCAAAGACGCAACCGGACGCACCTCTCTGCGAGCTGCGAAGACAACATTAAGCGCCCTCCCCGCGGTCCCCCGTTTTCACACATGCGCGGAAATATCAGCCAGCGCACATTCCAAATAGGCTAGAGAACTGACAAGAAGTGGACTGGCGCGGAGTAGGGTAGACTGGACTGGAGTGGACTGGACAGAAGCGTGGACTCTTCTCCGATCTACTCTAACCTAACCCTACTTCGTGCTGCCCAGCTCTACTCCAGCATCTACTCTGATATGCTCTACTCTGCTATGAACTACCCTGGTCCATTCTACCCTACCCTACTGTGGCCTATTCTAGTTGACTGAAACCTTCACGACCCTACTCTACTCCAATCTACTATACTATACTCGACTATACAACTAGTAGTTTCCCACTTCACGCTGGTCGATTCTAATCTCCCCTACTCTACTCTGCTCTGGTCTACACTACTACACTCTGACCGACTCAATTCGGCCATCTGCCATAACTGCTCTATCTGCCCAAACCGAAACGATCCCACCCTACCCTAACCCACTCTACTCTACTCGTGCTCGACCTGGCTCCACTCGATTCGAGTTTACTTCCCCGAATTGATCTACAATCCACCCTACTCTGCTCGACGCTGCTCTACTCTACCCTAATCTACCCCACCTCAGCCCACACTGCCTTACCCTTCCCTACCTTACTGGACTCGACTCTGTCCCTGCTCTACTCAACTCTACTCCCTCCAGCGCTGCTGCGCCTGAATTTACATTTCTTTACCTTACCCTAGTCGACTCTGAATATGCACGATTCTACTCCTCTGCGCTTCTTCTCTCTATGCCACTGGAATCCAAGGCGAGACGTAGCAGAAACATCAACTGCAATACCAACAAAAGCCAGTGCAACACAGGGGAAGCCATCTAAACAACAGAGGAAACAAACCCTACACTATTCCACTCTGCCCTGCCCTGTTGCGCTTTACTTCATACATCATATCGTTTCTGCTCTACTCTCAATAAACGATTGCAATGGCAGAGGGAGCCATTGCGATAGCAAAGAAAACCTCCGCAACAGCAGAGGTAACAACGGCACTAGTAGAGGATGCTTTCCCGAAGCCCCCGAGGCAGCAGGTCGTCCCCGCGCACGTCTGCAGAAGCTCTGGGCATCACTTGGGGGTGGACAGAAATCCCCTTTCAGGAATTCAATGACATCGGGAGCCTTTAGACGGGCCCATGCAAACGGCAGTCCTGCAAAACCAGGGCTGCATTGACCCTGGCGAGCGCGCAAAGTGCTGAACGATCCTGCAAAACCCGACTGGCCCCGGTTTGGATTGACGCGGGCCAGTGTGTCCCCGCTGAAAGCTGCCAAAAGCATTCCGCGTGCGCACGGCACCTCGTTCCCAGTTCACCCAGCAGGGTAGCTTATCGACGTACAGAAGCAACCGAACGTATCCAGCGAAGCGGACATCGATTAGCGAAACCGACTGGGGACTGCGCCAGCACACTCGGAGGCCAATGTCGAATCAACCAGTGCAGACTTCCTCAGTCAACCTGTCTGGGTAGGCGCTCTCTCACCAATGCCCAAGCCAGATGAGGAGAAGAAGCAACACGAGGAGGATGAAGAGGAGGAGCAGGAGGAGCAAGACGAGGAGGAGCCATCGACGAAGCCTGGAGCCCGGAGCTCCAGCGCGCTTAAAGCCCCAGCGCGGCAGCCGCCCGTCGCAGCCCATCAGAGGAGCTGCGCCGCGGCGCCTCGGCCGACGCGGGCGACGACGCGCACAGACCGCAGGCGGCGCCCAGGCCGGCATCGCCGCGGCGGCCTAGGCCGCGCGGGTGGCCAACCCGGCCGCGTCAGCAGCGGCCGCGCGCGCAGCAGCAGGCCGCGCGGGCTGCTGCGGCCGCGCGCCGCGCGCCGCGCCCCTCGCGCGCGCGCACGAGCGGCGACGGCTCGCGCGGCGGGCGGCGGCGCGGCGGCCGAGGGCGGCGCGCCCGCGGGCAGCTGCGGTGCCGGCGGCACGCGCCGCGGCGGGGCGCTGCGAGCGAGCCGACGCCTGCGGGAGCCGCGCGGCGGCCGCGCCGCGCACCGCGACGCGCTGGAGGGCGCCGCCCAGCTCGAAGACTCGGGCGCTGGCCCCCGAAAGCGGGGAGGCGCCAGACTCGGGTTCAGGAGGACTCGGGCTGGCCCGACGGAGCCATCGTGAAGAGGACGCGACCCGGCCTGCAACTTGACGCGGGCTCCCGCAGCAAACAGTCTGCGAACACTGGGCCGGCAAAAGGAAAGCACGGCCTCGTCGAAAAGCGAAGGCGGCGAGTCTTACGTTCAAGTCCAGCGTGCCCCCCTTACAGGGGGATGTTCGACGACAGTGAAAAAATACCCCAAAACATATCCAAAAAAATGCCCAACAATACTCCAAAAATAGCCCCCGGACTATCTGTTGACCATTTTGGAACATCCCCCCTGCAGAGGGGCAGGCCCGACTTGGGGCTCGTCGAAACGCGAAGGCGGCGAGTCTCACGCGGCCCCGACGGGGGCCACGCCCTCGTGCGCCACGGGCGGAGCCCGGCCTCCCGCGCGGACCCCGCGGCAGCCGTGGCGGCGGCAGCCACCGAGGCGAGCCGCCCGCCTGCCTCCCGCAGGCACGAAGCCCGCCGTGGGATCGCACGGCGGCGACGATGCTGGCCGGAGTTCGGGGGACGAAACGTGGCACATAGACATAAAAACTCGGAGGTCCGCGCCGACTTCTCGGATCGGCGCTGGGGCCCCCTGGCGGCGCCTCCGGCGCCGCCCCTGGCGCGCTCCGCGCGCCAGGGAGGGGGGGGTCCAGCGCCGATCTGAGAAATCCGCGCGGACCTCCGAGTTTTGTATGTTTATGTCACTGGTCGATCCCCCAGGAGTGCGCTGCGCTGGCATCCGCGCGAGCCTGCCTGACGTGACGAGCGCCGACACGTCGCGGTCCCATGGCTGGGCCACGCGCGACCGGAGCTGCGCAGACAGGCGCGTGGGCTTCGCAGCCTGCGCCGTGCCAGCCGCAGCGACTCCGAGGATGGACCGGCAGTCGGTGCGCTCATGCTGCGCCACAAGGCGCGGCAGCCGAAGCGCCAGGAAACCTTGCTTGAGAAGGAAGGTACCTCTGGGCCTCCGAGAGCGTGGATGAGAAGAACCGGCATTGTCGTTTCACAGACACGAAGTGGTCGTACGAACCAGCGGCCAGGGCGGAGACGATGCTGGTGCAGCATGACGCTATGAGGGCCACGTTGGCGATCGGCGCTGGGCTCTTGACCCGAAAGGCGTTTATGGGCTGGCGCAGGAAGGCGCTGTTCGGCACGCGACGCGGGCCCAACTTCCCGCGCGGGCGTCACCACCGTCGAATACGAGGCGGTGGCCCGGTTTTGGCTGCCGCTGCAGGCTGGCGGTCGGCGCAGCAGTGACCGAAAGGTCTGTGTCGACCTTTCGGCTCCCCCCCCCTTCCCTCCTTCCTTCTTTCACTCCTCCCTTCCCCCCCCCTCCGAACATGGCCGTGCAAGGGACGCTCCTGCCGAGGTGGCGCGAAGGGCGGCGGTGTCTCGCGCCACGCTGGCCATGGAATGTTATAAGAACGTCGTTTCGCACACGCGGATGTGCAAGAGCGTCCCCGGCGCCGCACCACGGAGCTGGCAATTCCTTCGCTCGACCCCGCAGCCATGCCATGCGGACCTGGGGCCACTGGCCCGTCACCCTTCCAGACCGTCGGACTCCCCGCTGGGTCCAGGTCGCCTTTAAAGGGACGCCCAGCGCCACGGTGGTCTTGCTCAGCAGTTGGCCCTGTGACCGTGTGACTTTGCCCCAGGGGCTCGACGATCCCTAAGCAGTAATGGCAACTGCCCGCACCACCAGTTTCGACAACTGGACGTACCGCCCGTCCTTGGGCCCCGAATCCCGCCAGCTCTAGGGTTGGTCGCCCAACATCGGGGATCTTCGGACCCGGGTCAATCCAGACCCGGGTCAGTCGGGCCTCGCAGGATCTGGACAAATCCTGCAGGATCCTGCACCCAAGCCCGGGTCAATGCGGCCCTGGCTCTGCAGGATCCTGCAAGATCCAGCGCCCTGGCTGACCCCCGTTTGCATTGACCCCCGTCTCTGGAGCCCAGACGACAGCTCCCTCATGGTCGCCCAGGGTGGGATTTCTCCCGTCGGGTGTGGGATCCCTCCACCTGTGAGAAAAAGAACAAAAGCCATAGACATACACTTTTGGCGCTCAGCCCGGATTTCTTGGATCTGCGCCGGACAACCCCTCCATGGCGCGCGGAGCGCGCCAGGGGCTGCGCCGGCGGCGCCGCCGGCAATTTCCCAGCGCAGATCCGAGAGATCCGCGCGCAGCGCCAGAAATTTATGCTTCTGGCGTTTTTTTCTCTTAGTCGATCTGTGTTCGCTTTGACGACCTGCTCAGGGGCTCGAGGAGGTGAGGGGCAACGATAGGGGGGGACTGGCATAAGGGGGGGATGCATCAACCTGGAATCGGCGATACATCGCCGATAGATCGGCGATGGGACCCGATAGTGAATCCGCACCTTCCAGGGCAGGTTGGGGCTATCGGGCCCCTATCGGCGATCAATGGGCGATTGGGGGCCGATGCATCCCCCCCTATGCCCATCCCCCCTATCGTGGCCCCTGAGGAGGTAGCCGCGGAGAGCAGCATCGACCGGCCGGGACCACCGCGGAGCGCGGCCGCCCCGGGCCCTTCAGCAGGGGGCGCGCCAGGGCAGAGGGAGCCAAGTTTCCAACAGCAGGGAGAGCCTCCGCAAGAGCAGGGAAGACCGCTGCAGTAGCAGAGGCCACTCTACTCCGCTCTGTGCTCCTCTACTCTCTGCTCCACTCTATTCGAATCCTGCTCCTACTTCTACTCCTGCTCCTGCTCCTGCGCCTGCGCTGCTCTACTCTACACTATTGTACTCTTCTCTAATCTACTCTACTATCTACTCTCTACGCTCTACTCTGCTCTACGTACTCCTACTCTACTCTGCTCTACTCTCCGTTTCTCTGCTCTGTTCTACTCTATTCTGCCCTACTCCGCTCATCTAAGCAAAAAAGGGGGGAAGATGACTGGATCATCATTCCACTGAGCCAGGACTCCTATCTAGAGATGCCTCGACCGAGAAGAGCATAGAAGAAGCGAGTGGGCAAGAACGCGAAGTGGGCAACGGCGCACTGCCCACCGCGCGAGCGCACGCGCGCGTGCGCACATGATGCACGTACACGCGCGAATGTCCAAGGTTGGGGGTCCCGCTACAGTCGGGGCGTTGACCTAAGGAACCCTAAATAAGGAACGAGGCCCCTTTTTACCAGAAGTTGAACTTCGGTTTCGCATCGAACACCTAAGGAAAATCCAAGGCAAGCTGCGAAACAATTAAGGAACACGGAGCCCCTCCCCAACGAAAAGGGTTCCTTCTTCAGGGCCCCGACTGTAAGGACAGATATCAACCGGGCCGTGAAATAAGATAAAGCTGGCTCCTCACGTTGAATTCCGAGCCGTCCAGTGAAGAGATCACCGCAGCGGAGCACATCTCCGCACCAGGCCGCAGCTTATGCACTTCTCCCTGGACGAAGATGACGTTCGGATATCGCTTTACAAGATCCTGGGCGCCGATGCATCCATACGCGCCGAGAGGAGCATTCATCCTGGAGATGGACTGACCTACTAGCGGCGAGAGCAGCGACATCGGATTGCTCGTTCCCTCGTGGTCGACTCTTTCAATTCCGAACGAAACTACGCTACACTGCCTCGATATGAGCCGGAAGTGACGTCAACACGTGAACCCATGCGCCCTGCCCACATCCTTGACTTGAGTTTGCGCTTTCAACAACGACCATGTGGGCGAGAGGCCTCTCAGGGCCAGGATGGTGTAAGCCATCTTCCCTCCATTCGCCTCCTCCTCCTCCTCCTCCTCCTCCTCTTCCTCCTTCTGCTCAGCCCCTCTCTTCGCTCCAACACTATTGTTTCCACTCCCTGCTCTCTCTTTCTTCTCCCTTATCCCTCTCGCTCATTCCTCTCTCCTCCCAGCTTTACCCTTGGCTCCTACATGTCCGAAGCCTCCCACCTCTCTCCTTTGTCCTCCATTCTTCCTGGCGGTGTCGCAAAACGATTAGTGTGGCATTGCAACTCCGTCTAAGAGTATCCGCAGACGCCCGGATTTAGGACGAGCATCGAGCAATGTGAACCACACAACTGCACATAACGACTGAAAACGCGTACGCAGGCGCCTCCGAATACTGAAATGGGGCACACAGTAAGCACGCACAGAGAATGCCACTCGCCCCGCATGTATCTAGATGTATCTAAAGATATAGAAGAATCGAAACGAGGACGTTCCACTTACAAACCATAAACTGTGAATCACCCTCATTGCCGTTACATGCAACACGCAACCTAACGCGCGTTGGCAAAGAGCTCAACGCATATACTTAGCATGTAGGCCTGTCGCGACGCACACACACACACACACACCAAAACACACACACACACACGCACGCACGCACGCACACACATACACACACACACACACACGCCAACACGTATGCCACCATGTGTTTAGTCCAAACGTTTCGAACACGATACGTGTTGCGTGTCCGCACGGTCGTATCGGGGCAATCGGTCCAAACCGTTATCTTTCCTCTGCCACGCCAAAATGCCGCCCGTTCCTCCAGTTCCCTCCGCCCTCCCCGCTCTCGCTCCCCCACGAACGACGTACGGCCCGCCCATGCCCAGGATCCCTGCCGCCATCACCACAGCGCACGTCCATGCCCAGAGGAACAATTCGACACAACAGGCTCACGACGGCGAGCGAGGTCTTTAGCCTGACAACGTCTCGCCGTCTGTCTCCACACCACCCCAAAGCGCCATAGAGAGCAGCAGTCCTGGAAAGCCCGCAAGAGGGGCACCGTCAGGGGGGGACAGGCACAGGAGGAGATCATCGAGCTGGACTCGTCGATAAATCGACAGTAGACGGCGATGGACCCCCTGATTGCAAAACCGCACGTTCCTCGGCGGGGTGGGCCAGCCGCCCTCTGTCGGCGATCAGTGCGCGAGTGGGGGTCGATGCGTTCCCCCATGAGCCGAACCCCCCCCCCGCACATTGCCCCTGCCCGCAGCCAAGGCTGCGACCAAGACGATGCGCACAAAACTCCCGAGACGCGCACAAGCGAGATGCGGGCTGCTTCCCGTGCGAGGTCCTGTTTTTTTCCACACGCGGCCCCCGGAAATCCCGACCCTTTCTCTAAGGATCTGATGTTAATTTTCAGTCGGGCGTGTCCCCCTACAGGGGGATTTTCGATAGCCAAAATAAAGATACCTCAAATTACTCACTGCGTGGGGCTCCCCATATGTGCATCTCATGTTTTATAACATGCCATAGTGAGCGTCTGTTCATGAGCGCTTGACTATAATAGCGCGTCCACGTGGGCGATCGGGGCCGACGCAGACGAGCGAATCCGAATGCGAGTGAGTGAGTATGAGTCAGAGTGAGCTTTGAGCATGATTGAATATGAGCCTCCCATTCAGTCCCCCTCCTCAAACTGGCCGCGAACGGGCCCATGAAAACACCCCTGGCGGCTCCCCTTAGGGGTGCTGAAGCCAGCGCCCCGCCTGAGACATCCCCAAACTCTGCTCTGAAAGCAAATAATATTGGGCATGCAAACAAGCAAACCGCCTGAGACATCCCCGCAAACTGGCCGCGAACGGGCCCGTGAAAACACCCCTGGCAGCTCCCCTTAGGGGTACTGAAACCATCGCCCCGCCTGAGACATCCTCAAAATCTGCTCTGAAAGCTAAGGGTGTTGGGCATGAAAACTGACAAACCGCCTGAGACATCCCCGCAAACTGGCCGCGAACGGGCCCGTGAAAACACCCCTGGCGGTTCCCCTTAGGGGTGATGAAACCAGCGTCCCGCCTGAGACAACCTCAAAATCTGATCTGGACGCCAAAGACGGTGGGCATGAAAACGAACAAACCGCCTGAGGCATCTCCACAAACTGGCCGCGACCGGGCCCGTGAAAACACCCCTGGCGGATCCCGTAGGGGTGCTGGAACCACCGCCCCGCATGAGACATCCTCACAATCTGCTTTGAAAGCCAAGGACGTTGCGCATGAAAACCAGCAAATCGCCTGAGACATCCCCGCAAACTGGCATCGAACGGGCCCGTGATAACACCCCTGGCGGCTCCCTTTAGGAATGCTGAAACCAGCGTCCCGCCTGAGACATCCTCAAAATCTGCTCTGAAAGCCAAGGATGCTGGGCATGAAAACGAACAAACTGCCTGAGACATTCCCACAAACTGGCCGCGAACGGGCCAGTGAAAACACACCTGGCGGCTCCCCTTAGGGGTGCTGAAAACAGCGCCCCGCCTGAGCCATCCTCACAAACTGCTCTAAACGCAGACGAGTCTGCCCACCAAAACAACCAAACCGCCTGAGACATTCCCACAAATTGGCCGCGAACGGGCTCGTGAAAACACCCCTGGCGGTGCCCCTTAGGAGTGCTGAAACCAGCGCCCCGCCTGAGACATCCTCACAAACTGTTCTAAACGCAAACGAGTCTGCCCACCAAAACAGCCAAACCGCCTGAGACATCCCCACAAACTGGCCGCGAACGGGCCCGTGAAAACACCCCTGGCGGCGCCCCTTTGGGGTGCTGAAACCAGCGCCCCGCCTGAGACATCCTCAAAATCTGCTCTAAACGCAGACGAGCCTGCCCACCAACACAGCCAAACCGCCTGAGACATCCCCACGAACTGGCCGCGAACGGGCCCGTGAAAGCACCTCTGGCGGCGCCCCTTTGGGGTGCTGAAACCAACGCCCCGCCTGAGACATACTCCGAATCTTCTGTGTGTTGAATAAGTCTACGTATGAGCAAGTCTGACTATGAGAAGGTCTGAGTATGAGTAAGTCTGTGTATGAGTAAATATGTGTATGAGTACGCCTGGGTATGAGTAAGTATGGGTATGAATAAGTCTGTGTATGAGTAAGTCTGTGTATGAGTAAGTCTGTGTATGTGTACGTCTGGGTATGAGTAAATCTGAGTATGTGTAGGTCTGAATATGAGTATGTCTGAGTATGAGTAAGTCTGTGTATGAGTAAGTCTGGGTATGAGTAAGTCTGAGTATGAGTGAGTCCGAGAGGAGGGGAGCAGAAGGAGAGGGAGTAGGAGGCGTCCAAGTAATAACAAGAACCCCATGTCAGGATATGGGGAACGTATTCCCAAATAGCCCAAAATACCAAAAAAAAAAAAAAAAAAGTCCCCCGACTTTTTATACTATTTTTGAATATTCCCCCTGTAGAGGCACGAGCCCGACTTAATTTTAGTTCTGCGTCGTTCTGTTGACGGTCCCGGGGCCAGGTGCAGGGTCCGAGAACCTGCGAAACACTTGCCGTCCTGATCTCTTCACGACGCGACGTTCTCTTGGTGAACCCCGAAACCTGGCCGCGGGCACCGGCCCTGCTGTAGCAGTTAGGGGACCGCATGCGAACCCTACCCCTACCCCTTACGATTTCCGAGGGGGAGGGTGGGGTTCGGTCGCGGGCGAAGTGAACCCCACCCCCCCTTAGAAATCGTGGGGGGTAGGGGTAGGGTTCGCATGTGGCCCCCTAGCAATACATTTCCTCTGCTGCCTGGGCCTGGCGCCACCACTGGGCAGGACCAAGCGGCACGGAATCGGGACATCGGACGGAGGCGGAATCGCGGCAACGGAGCGGCCCTCAGATCCGGGCGTTGCAATTTTTCACGCCGGGCGTTCCCGCCCAGTCTCGGGCCCCGGGAACCTCACAGATCGATCTAGCTCGAAGAATGACGTAGCAAGAAGGGGTCTGGAGCTCCGTGCGTGCTTTTGCTTCGCGATGCCGCATTGTGGTTCTGCAACGTCGGATATCAGGGGGAGTCGGACTCGGATCGGCCGCGCCAAGATGCACGCGACAACGCAATGGAAACATCGGGCAACATTGGATCGACGGCAACATTGGATCGACGGGAGGCCGGAAACGAATCGGATCGAGGCGGCGGAAGTCGATAGCGAACCGGATTGATCGGGCCGACATTCACCAAAGGCCTCCTAGATGGGGTCGGGGCAGATGGGGTCGGAAGATCGATGCATCCGCGATGCATTGGCGATGTCGGCGATGCATCGGCGACGTCGGCATGGAGAAAAGTGGGCCCCACATCGAGCCGCATCACCGCTGCACTGCCGATGCATCGGCGACGCGGCGCGTTCCCACGACCCCAGCCACTCCGACCCCATCTAGGAGGCCTACAGTCACGCGGGTGTGAATTCTAGAAGAAAGAGAACTATGCACATACACCGATTCTGGCCAGGCACATCCTGAGCCAAGGATCGGTGCATACGCCCTCTTACCTTGGCCGGGAAGGTATATGCACCGATCCTGGGTCAAGGATGAGCGCTGTCAGGATCGCTGCATGTGCATAGTTCTCTTCGCCCGAAGTTCTCGACGCTGGCCTGCTGACCACCGAGGCGAGAGCGGGGAGAACGACGGGTTTGGGGCCCCTCCGGGGCCCCAGACCCGGCCGAAGCTTGCGCGACCCCCCCAAAAGGTTGGCCGCAGCATCTCTAAGTTGACTCACATTGGAAA